AGTAGTGTGTGTGTGTGTGTGTGTGTGTGTGTGTGTGTGTGTGTGTGTGTGTGTGTGTGTGTGTGTGTGTGTGTGTGTGTGTGTGTGTGTGTGTGTGTGTGTGTGTGTGTGTGTGTGTGTGTGTGGCGCGCGCGCGCGTATATTCTAGGGGAATTTCATCAACGGCCGAGACCACCTGTCGATCGAATTCTTCGAAGCAGCTGCTTCTCGAAAGCCTTGTAATCGGTCCTTCTTCCCTCGCGAGTAGCCAAGTATACGAATAAACGTACGAATTTATGTGAAACTAATAAGAATGGTGGGTTAGGTTAGGTTAGAAGCCAAGTATAAAACTCTGGTTATTCAAAAAACCAAGCTATTGTTAAATTTACAGTAACAAAAAGTTGCTGTATAATAAAACAAAAAAATCGACGAGATTAGTATTATCTTATACAAATTTTTGCTTTATTACTAACTATCTTTATTTTTGATTATCTCTAAAGTTTTCAATATTCTATTTGTTTCCTCTTTTGATTAGTAGAAAGTAGTTGTCAATGTTAATGAATGAGATTAGAAATTTGATCAGTTTTCGTAAAATTGTAAAATCATAACTTTTTATAATTCGATATAATAATCTGAAGTCGAAAATACTTACAAGTATATATATTTACTAGTGGCAAATTCTATGAAATCTTTTGTTTCTCAAATCTAATTTAGATTTATAAGTATGTATTAAATTTGATTCCATCGCTACTCGTGACTAATCTCGATAGTGAATTCTCGCTAATGCTTTCGCAATTATTCCAATTGCGGTGCGCGCAATTTAATCGTATGGCAATTGATTATTTCAAATCGAAATTTGCTAAGTGAACGATTTAGCTTGAAACAAAAAATCCAAAACGTGGAGTTAACCTTTCCTTTTTCTTCAAATTAAAAAAAAAAGAAAATTTTCGAATTATATCGAAGAGTTCGAAATAGTTTGTTCGATCATTTTCGTAATGGTTATCGCATTTATATCAAGATTTATTATTATACGTTTCAAAAATAATGGTGGTTCGTGTAAAAGTGAACATGTTTTAACGAAATTGCTTCTGTAAACATGAATGAGAAATAAAGTTCTTCGAAATTGAGCAATTGTCTATAATATTCGTGATGATATCTTATGTAAATCGTTGATTCAACAACGTTGACTCACTTGTATAAATTTGATCGATGAATTAAAAAACATGAAAAAGCTTACCTTGCTTACGACGAAATCCTTTTCATCGAAATGACGACCGAACATTTTAGGCGCTTCTCCAGGTATCGGCTCGATTTTCACGCAAACTTCCTGACCTTTTCGCGCGGATTCCACAGGTTTGTGATTATATTCTATACTCGTGACCACGCCCAAATCCACAAACTGTAAAATAAAACCAAAAACAAAGATTTAGAATTAGATAAAAATATTTATAATTATTCTATAATTGGAAAGTTTAAAAGCCAATCAATACAAATCATATTCTCTGAAAATGATTTAACGGTTCAACAATTTCTTTATTGTTTTAACTTTCACTTGACAAATCAATCGAATGATTATATTTCAGTAATGGGTCAAAGTTCAGAATTTCATTATTCAATAAAAATTTCGCGTCAAACGTTAAGACGAAACAGTTACGAAATTCGATAAAAATACTGAACTTTTAAAAAGATTACATCAAAGGAAAAAATAGTTTATTGTTGCAAAAAATTTAAATTAATAAAAAGATAAAAAATAAATTAGTCGTAACAAAATTAGAAGATATACTCGAAATATAATATTAATCAATAAAATATTCAATTGTAATAATCTTAACCTAACTTTTCGATGAGGAAGATGTATCGAAGTGCAACGAGACGTGTTTGTAACATCCATAACAATAAAATCTAAGTTATTTAACTTCCAATGCATGCTTACAACTCATCAAAATATCTTTCAAAGAATTTTCGATTTGCAATAGAAAGCGTGAAACATACTATGACAAGGTGAGAAGATTTCGAAAGGTTAGAATTTTTCACGCGCAGCTCTCTATACGCAGGCTGTTTCACAGCTTGTACCGGCGCTATCGCCGTGTCTTTTTTCCATCCTCGATCGGCGTGTGTCTCTTTGCGTGGGTATAGCTCCGCCTATGCATTCCTTTCTGCGACCGGAAGTCGAGAGAAAACCGAGTACCTGAGCATTGCGCGTCGTCAGGGCCGACTCGGACGTAGGTACGGTTTTCGTCGTGAATACCAGCGAGGATCGGTGTGGACCGAGTAGGTAGATACGCGGATACGTAGGTTGTTGGATACTGTGGGATGTTATACACGCAGTGATCTACAAGTTTTGATTGAACTTCGTTTCGGAGCATCATCTTTTTTCTAAACCTTCCTTTTGCATTTTTCTGATAATACTCGATGAATACAAATGAAACGATGATTATGAATCAATGGAATAGATTGGTTCAAAAGTTATATAACCTAACTTAATTGGTATAATTTATATAAAATAAAAGATTCAAAAAATACGAATTGCTTTTATTAATGATATCGGATCAACGACAAAAGTGACATCAAAAGTATTCGCATAATTGATCTTTGAATTTTATCATTGTAAAAATATCTTTTTTTCTTATTCAATTGTTTGCAGGACACGCCAATAAGACGACAATAATCTTATTTAATTAAATCTAATCTAATTTATACTATATATATAGGCTAAATATTGAATATTGAATAAAAAATTTTAAATACATAACCTTTAAACCGATGGATTTTTAAATTCAAAATCAATATATTTTATTCATCGAGTATCAAAAAATATACTTTAAAATAAACTTTAAAAAAAAAATGATACCTTAATACGAAATAGTGGAAATTTTAGACCAAGTAAAACTTTATTTGGAAGAAAATATGTTTGCGAAAAAATATGTATACATGTCTAAACATTATTGAAACAGCAAAACTAACCACCAGAGCGCACTAGTCTCAATACATGAAAAATAAAAGTACATAGGTTACGGAAGAAAAGATTTTTATTTTGAATTAGTTTTCTTATAAAATTATTTTCATTCAAGTTATTTAGTGTTTATTTTTTTTATATATATATACAAATATATTTATATTATGTTCGTTATAAAAGTGTTGTTTAATTGTGTTATTTTTTTTACATTACTATCTTCTAACCTCAACAAGAATGAATATTCAAAAGGAAGATTCAAGAGGAAATAAATATATATATATATATATATATACACGAAATAATAATAGTATAAAATTATTATATTCGAATTTAAGAACACCGTATAGAATGGTATATAGTGGTAAGAAAGCTCGAGCATGTCGTTTAGAATCGCGTTATTGCCGTAACACACCTGCAGCTGCAAGAGCGCCAAGTGGGCGATAAACCCGGACGCAAGTTTGCTTGGGGACACGCACAGATTGCCGCTTATCCTTTTCAAAGAATTGCCTATAATTACGATTAATTAATGATTACCTCCTTCGAAGAGTTTTAATCTATTCAAAAGCCTTCCTCAATGAAACTTTGTAACATCGAAAAGCTCATTTATAAAGGATGTCACTCTGATTGAAGAAATTTTATTATAAAACGACAATATCTGGTAAGATAACCTTACTTTCTTTCTGTATAAACAATAATAAAAATAATAAGAATCAAAGATATTTTTAAAAATCTTAAAAAAAAAAAACGAATATTTTTGACGTAGAAAAAAAACAATGAAGCAGCAAAGGGACGAGACCGAAGCGAGATCGAAAGAAGCAGAAGCAAGCATGGTATCAATCGATGGACAATGACCGGTCGTGTATTTCGAAACCCACGCCACGAAAGAGCAATATGCCCACACACACGCTTATAGTCAGTTCGAATCGAACCACGAGGTCTCTCGTTTCTTTATCCCCATAACGTGCTCTCTCTCTCTCTCTTTCTTTTCTCTTATATTCTTCTCGTTCCTCCGTTCCTGGTTACTTTTATGGTGTTGTACGATCGTCCGATTTTCGACACTCTTCGCGTCCTACCGCACGCATTACCATATACAGGATATATATATATATATATATACAATATGGTGCATCTTTAAAGAATCGATTTTAGACATTGAAATAAATAAAAAAAATTGATATATTGAAATATCGATCGAGGTTTATTTTTCAAATTATAAGCAAGAGTTTTATAAACGGAACGTAATGATAATATTTAGATAATATTAAAATGTGTCAGAAATTATTGTTCTATATGTATATTTTCTTTTTATTATAGTGTTGTTAAATTGATCATTTCTATTATACAATAAAACACCCTTTATAATTAGTAAAACAAATTAAAACAACTTTTATTAAAGCAAATGTATAAATATATCGTACCATACGTATATAATTATAATGATATAATTGTATCTTTTTTTTCTCTTTATCATTTTAATGATTCTTCGTGTAAATCTTAATATACGATAGATACTTTCTATTTTTCTCTCGATCCTGTTATTTTTCATGCAAAAGTTCGAGTTTTTCTCAATCTCCTTTTTATTTTATCGCAAGAATAGCATATTAATTTGCCCGGCACCATCATCTTCAAGCTCCGTTAGCAATGCGACTGGAAGTAAACAGGTTTGGTCAATTGTTTTTTCAAGTTGGACTGGGAAATTGCCAAGCGTCTCGCGTATCGAGTAGAAGTGGAGGAAGATGGGAACACGTTTGGCGAGGATTCGCAATGTCTTCCTCGTCTTCGCGTGGGTTACCACGGATTCTTTTTCTTCTTTAAAGCGTTTCAGACTCTCTCGGGACACGTGGGAAGCCAGTCATGGGAAAACAAGAATTTTATAAAAATCAATTTATTTTCTTCTTAGGTCGGACTGGAATTCTGAATAGAAGAGATTTCACTTACAGTTAACGATATTATATATATATATATTAGGTAGCTTTTTTCCCCTCTTTACATTATGCAAATCTTCTCTGTTTTCCTAACTTTTATGATCCTATTCTTTCAAAATAATTTTAACGATACGTTTATAATATTCATATTTATAAAATATAAATATAATTATATTATTATGTACAATCTATAATAAATGATTTATTTGCAAAATACTTAAGATAACTTCCAATATCATTTATAAAGAACCGATTCATTATGGAGATTCGTCAAATTGCCTGATTATTCTATTTAACGTTTATCTAAATTTAAACCTAATTGAAATTGTATCAATTTATAGTTTGTTAATTTCATAATATTCATCAAATCCCAAAACTTAACTTAAGAGAATACGTGGTTAGTGGAAGAAAATTGAATAATGCAAATGATATCTTAATAAATGAATAAGAATATACGTTTCTTTAACATTTGCCTGTGTAAATAATAATATTTTAAAAGCAATAGTGTGTTCACTCTCTTTCTTTCTTTCTTTTCCTTCCTCTATCTATTCGTACATTATCTTCGTCTCATTTGTTATCTTTATGCCGGTCATGTATCGTGGAACGACACAAGATATATTCGGTACCAGTAACGAACTGTGCCACTGATTAATACGTTTGTCGCTTGATCTATCCGGTGATTAGCGTCATTCTTCCGGTCCGGAAATGACCGCTCGATGGCGTTAGGGCATACATATGTTGATTTCGAAATATTTTCCTGTCAATGTAATAATTAGCTTTTTACGAGATCGAAATTACCATGAAACGAATAACTCTTATATCATTTATCATACCAAATTAAATCTCTACTTGTTAATTTTTTGGATATATTTGATGAATCAGATCATTGCGCATTTCTTTTTATTTCAGAACGATGAGATTCTAATTTATCAATCGAAATGGAGTAAGTATATTTGAAAAATTTAAATTTGTTACTATACTAAATTTACTGTACTAAATTTTTTAAATTTAATTTCGTTTATTTCATTGATTTGTTAACGATATTAGTAAAAAAAAATTAAAACTTGTGAAATTAAAATTTATTTTAGTTTAGCATTTTCGCAATGAAATCATAATTTATATACTATTGCATCAATGTTCTTGATCGTGTGCGCTATAAGTATAAAATTAAAAGCGAGACTAGCTGGCTATGTAAACAATGCCAAGTACCATTGCATTTCCTCAAATTCTTTGAAACACTTTTTTTCAAAACTATTACTAAATTATTTATATTCTATATCATTGTTCTTTCTTTATCTAATTAATTTATTTTATTTTGCGATATTTAATATATTTTAATGTTGTATTATTTATTCTCTACAAATAAATTAATTTTTTCATAAAAAATAATTTTCCAAAAAAAATTCAATGAAAAACAGACACGTGTCGTTTGATTTACGATCTCATTCAGCCAAATATACGTGATATTACATTAAAAGAATTAATTTGTTTTCTAAAAGATTCAATTAGTAATCGCATAAACAAAATTATTTTTGCTTTCATTCCGCAACGTTACTTTTTTAACTGCGCGCGCAACTTGATTCTCTTATTTACAATTGGTCGAGAAATGTGCCGCCGCACCACAACAACGGTCCTAGTTCCTTTGGACATACCGATTCGAAAGCCGGCCATTCTCAATGAATCTAAGTTTAGTAAAGTGATCAACTGGGGCCAACTTGATGTTACTCGAAGAACGTGTATCGTGGGCCAAATATGCACGTCACAATGTAAAACGGATTCAGAAATATAAATCGACGACAATGTGCGCATGCGCCACGCACGTGAAAGAAACTAGGAGAATTCATGTTAGAACTAGCGTGAATTTAACAATAATTATCAACGATTCTTCTTTCAGTAACGTACATTGTCCTCGAATGGACAAATGATTAATGAAGATAATCGAGGTTAATCGTGAGTGTTAGACAAACGAGTTTTATATATATATATATATAATATGTATCTCTATACATATAGTATGATCGATTTGATCGATTATATTGTAAAAAAACTTGTCGAGCTTTATTAAATGAGTTTCATTAAACATGAGAGTTGTTTCGAAACTCTATTACGATAATTTTTACCTTTTTTTTTTATCTTTTTTTTTACGATTTTTTATTCAACTATCATTTTCCATTTCAATGAAAATGTGGTACGAGATAAAAATGTAAGAGGTTATATTTATATCTACAGTATAATTAGAAAACCATTATAAAACTAGAATTATGATAATTTTTTTCCGCTGTAAAAACTTTTACAAGTCGTTTTATTTATTATATGTTTAAAAACTTTCAGAGGTTAAGTTTAGATTATCACAAGTCGAATTCAGTATAAATTTATTTCTGTAAGTAAAATTTTTTTTTAGGTTATGATCTTCTTTTATAATAATCAAAATTCATTTTACAATTCCATAAAATACAACGATTGAAAAATATTGGATATTGAATATCCGAAATAAAAATATTTCTTTAATTATTTTCGTATTAATGTAAGTAAAATATTTATTTGATTTTACAAATATATAATAAATATTTCAGTGTTATGCATGTCTTTTAATATAAATGAATGATATAATTGAAACGATTAATCGAAATAGATATTTTCTTCGGTACACGTGTAAAATATTTGAATATTATTTTGAAATTTGAAATTTTGTCCACTAGACAATTACAATTATATCTTAAAATTCATCGTCGTGTAGTGAGTGATTAATATTTCTATCTAAGTTCATACGATAATTAAAAAATATAAAAATACAAAGATAAAATAAAAATATACTTTTCTATTTACTTTCCTTGTTAGATAATAATCAAAAAATATTTAAAACAATTAAAAGTAAATTTGGACCCGTGAAATATTAAGTTTCAATTTTCATTCAAGCAAACCTATTTTCAATAATTATTTCCAATTGAGCAACAAATCATTTATAATCATTCTACTACAAACATTTACATTCCATGTAAAATATCTATTTTATATAATTGAAACTATACCTATGTTTTAAATTGCCAAAAAGAGAGAAAAAAGAAAAATCGTATATAAACAAGTTCCAATTTTCAGGAGTTTCCTTCACGGAAGACGGATTTCCGTGGAAGATAATAGAATGAGAATGACAGAAGAGGAAAGAGAGTGGAGGAAAAGGGGAGCGAAAACGAGACGAGAAGAGAATGGGTGTTGGCATCATCATACTCGGGAGCAGACGCTGCGAGCGAACGCGTGAGACGGGAACCGGAAGTCTATTTTCGTGTGCCGCACCGATTTAGAAAGCTTTATAGTTTGTACGAGCCTGAACGGCTACAGCCAACGCATCGTTGATGTGGCTCGTTGCTTTGAGCGCATGCACAAATTGAGATTTGTGCGGCATTCTCTCTCTTTCTCTCTCTCTCTCTCTTCTCTCACTATGTAGATCTATCCCATCCAACTATTTACAAACATCAGCCCGTTAAAGACGAAATAGTAAAAGTAATAATGAAATTTTTGAACGCGTGTCAATTTAACAATCTCATTTTGCTTCGTCTAATGGAAAATTACTTTGCGCGCAATTTGATAAATATTTTTTTTTTTTTTTATATGTGCGATTTCTAGGACCAAATCACTTTCCAAAAGTGTTCTAATATTTTGTTCTCAATCTTGTAACAATAGGGAAAAGGGGCGGTATGATTTTAACGAATAGAAAAGAAAATCGGATTAAAAAAGATTAATATAGGTTAGTATAGGTCGTCCTCTGTTTTTCATGGAAAATCGAATTCGTTGGACGAACGATAAAAAGAATATCTTTAAATCGGATCCATCCGCGTTATCGCGCATTCGTCACGATTTCCTCGTCGCGAAATAGATATCTGCAAGCATAGACAATATATTTCAATGAATGCCTTGTCAATCAGTAGATCGGCCACGTGCACGATACACCTTTGATCTATCGGCTGCGTTAATGAGCGTCGGACGGATGAGTCGATGAATGAAATCCCCACTACCGCCACTATCGATGTCCTTCCTTCATTCGCGCCATTCAATGAACAACCGTTTCTGAAAACCTTGACGGCTCTACTCTAACCCGTCGTGTATTTCGTATCCGATAATACGATACAGTGCCGGCCAAAAATTATTGCACATATACTTATTAAGACAATTGAGAATAACATTATTCATATTCGTCGATATTTATTCAAATATAAATACAAATTTTTCCACTTATTTCAAAGCTAATAAATAGCTTTTCGTATGCTTGATTCGATCGTGTCTTTTTAAGAATTACGTGACACTTACTTAAATAAAGATCAACGCAAATTTATAAATTTTTTTTTTTTTTTTTACTACACAAATAGTCCAGTTCGAAATTGAATTACACGGATAAAGAAAAAAATAATTTTCGCGAACAAAGATCCCCGAAAATAGAACAAATGGAACCGCGAGGAGAGGCGCGAGACATTTAAATTCGATACATGGAGAAGGAATCCGGACATTGAAAACGATACGATAAGCATTCTTTTCTTAGCCCAGGGACGGGAAGAAGGAGGATCCGTACAGTTTCGTCAACCGGCCGATTATCGTCCAGTATTCGTCGTTAGCAAAATTAATCGCGAGCCCGGGTAAAATGATCTACTCGACATTGGAAACTCGACATCCGGCCGGGCAATGTATCATCTCTCTCGGTCGTATCGCTCGCTCTCTCTCGGCCGCCTTTCCACCAACCTCTCTCTCTCTCTCTCTTCCTCTCGCTTCTCTCCTTCCGAGTTATTTCTTCTTCTTTTTTCTCCTATTTTTTTCTTCTTCTTCTTTCTTTTTTCTTTTTCTTTTTTGCCTCCGTTCGCTACGATAGCAACGTTAACCAGCTGCCTACTTAGAGAAACAAGACAGAGAGAGGGAGTGGGATGAAGGGAGAGGGAGCGAGCCGACGAGGAGAACGATAGAGCGAGAAACGTGGTGGGGATAGAGATGGAGAAAGAAGAGTTGGAATGAGGCAGAATACCCGCGTATACCAACGCATCGATGCCACTTACTCACCAACCACATCCCGTCTTTTGGCCTTCCGGCTTGTCTGTAACTTTCGTGGAAACGCCTCTGGCTTCCTTCCGGTCGTTTATCACTCGGTAGACGCTCTAAACGTAGATACGTTGTCCCACGTATGTTCATTTCACCCCCACCACGCATTCGTTTCTAAGCTGTCTCATCACCTCGCCCCTTCCCCCCCTCTCCCTCTTCGCGTCCAATTATTTTCTCTCCTTCCCTTTTTTAACTCTCTTCGTTTCTTTTCACTCCTGTTTTAAGATGGCGTAGTATCTCCTACCGTACGTTTATACGCCCTTCTTCTTCACTTCATTTTAACCTTCCACTATATATATATATATATATATATATATATATATATATATAGT